GACAAGAAAGTGATCAAGTAAACAAGTAGACAAGAAAGTGATAAAGTAAACAAGTAGACAAAAAAGTGATCAAGAAAACAAGTAGACAAGAAAGTGATCAAGTAAACAAGTAGACAAGAAAGTGATAAAGTAAGCAAGTAGACAAGAAAGTGATTAAGTAAACAAGTAGACGAGAAAGTGATAATGTGAACAAGTACACAAGAAAGTGATAAAGTAAACAAGCAGGCAAGAAAGTAATAAAGTAAACAAGCAGACAGGAAAGTGATATAGTAAGCAAGAAAACAAACAAGTAGACAAGAAAGTGATATAGTAAACAAGAAAACAAACAAGTATACAAGAAAGGGATAAAGTAAACAAGAAAGCAAACAATTAAACAAGAAAGTGATCAAGTAAACACGTAGGCAAGAAAGTGATCAAGTAAACAAGCAGACAAGAAAGTGATCAAGAAAACAAGTATACAAGAAAGTGATAAAGTAAACAACTAGACAAGAAAGTGATCAAGTAAACAAGTAGACAAGAAAGTGATCAAGTAAACAAGTAGACAAGAAAGTGATATAGTAAACAAGAAAACAAACAAGTATACAAGAAAGGGATAGAGTAAACAAGAAAGCAAACAATTAGACAAGAAAGTGATCAAGTAAACAACTAGACAAGAAAGTGATCAAGTAAACAAGTAGACAAGAAAGTGATCAAGTAAACAAGTAGACAAGAAAGTGATATAGTAAACAAGAAAACAAACAAGTATACAAGAAAGGGGTAGAGTAAACAAGAAAGCAAACAATTAGACAAGAAAGTGATCAAGTAAACAAGTAGACAAGAAAGTGATCAAGAAAACAATTAGACAAGAAAGTGATATAGTAAACAAGAAAACAAACAAGTATACAAGAAAGGGATAGAGTAAACAAGAAAGCAAACAATTAGACAAGAAAGTGATCAAGTAAACAACTAGACAAGAAAGTGATCAAGTAAACAAGTAGACAAGAAAGTGATCAAGTAAACAAGTAGACAAGAAAGTGATATAGTAAACAAGAAAACAAACAAGTATACAAGAAAGGGATAGAGTAAACAAGAAAGCAAACAATTAGACAAGAAAGTGATCAAGTAAACAAGTAGGCAAAAAAGTGATCAAGTAAACAAGCAGACAAGAAAGTGATCAAGAAAACAAATAGACAAGAAAGTGATAAAGTAAACAAGTAGACAAGAAAGTGTCACAGTAAACAGGTAGACGAGAAAGTGATAATGTGAACAACTAGGCCACGGAAAGTGGTAAAGTAAACAAGTGGACAAGAAAGTGCTAAAGTAAACAAGTAGACAAGAAAGTGACAATGTGAACAAGTAGGCAAGAAAGTGATTAAGAAAACAAGTAAACAAGAAGGTAATTAAGTGAGCAAAAAACAAAGAAGTAGACAAGAAAGTGACAAAGTAAGCAAAAAACAAACAAGTAGACAAGAAAGTGACAAAGTAAGCAAAAAACAAACAAGTAGACAAGAAAGTGATAAAGTAAACAAGTAGACAAGAAAGTGATAAAGGAAACAAGTAGACTAGAAAGTGATCAAGTAAACAAGTAGACCAAAGAGTGATAAAGTAAACAAGTAGATAAGAAATTGATAACATAAACAGGTAGACAAGAAAGTGATAAAGTAAACAAGTAGACAAGAAAGTGATCAAGTAAAGAAGTAGACAAGAAAGTGATAAAGAAAACAAGTAGACAAGAAAGTGATCAAGTAAACAAGTAGACAAGAAAGTGATCAAGTAAACAAGTAGACAAGAAAGTGATAACGTAAACATGAGTGATAGGAAGTTAGATTTATCAATACAAGATCTCTCAGACCAAGAATGTAAAGTTTGCTAACCAGTAGATGTCCGAGTTGATTTGTCCTGGAAGGAGCTAAAAGAAGGAATTAGAGGGTAAAAGTGTGAAAAACTAAACAAGCAAATAGGTAAGTAGTTAAGGTAATGACAAAGTAATCAAGTAAGCAAACAAGATGGCATATCTTTCGTGGCATATATGTAAAAAAGCTGGTGCAGTTTTACTTAAACTAAACCATAGAGCTAAGTGCAAGTTTGAAATATGAAGATCATGTTTCCGATCAGTAAACAAATTCCTGAATACAAAATTTAGTTTAGAACTAATAGTTTTTGCCACGTTTAATGTATGGCTAAAACTTTTGAAAGAACTGTCAAAAGTGGTAGATCTTACTTTTGACGTCATCGTTCGTTGAGTAAATCTTAATTAGCAACATGAAGAAAATATCCTTTTAACTTCAACTGAACAGCTTTTAACATCTAGTTTTGGTGTGATCATCATAATCACTACACGGAACTTACAAACGAAATATTCATAGCTGAAAAATTACTTAAATTGGTAGCGGATAATTCTTATGCGATTGGCAAACAATTTATTATACAGGTGAGATTTGGGTATACCATAGTCGATAAATTCTGTATCAAATGTAAATTAGAAACGATTCATCGTGTTAAATCACCTTTTTTAACAAATTTCCTTTGTGCTATATATTCTTCTCTTGGTTTGTTAGCATATTTTATTTACAGGTGTTGTCAATTGATTGTACTACGCTCCCAAACCTTCATGTGGTCGAGTGTAAACAAGGTTAAAATATTACATTCAGATATTCAGATATACCCTTGAAGTATAGCATTACATTTTGTATCACTGTATGTCTTATAATCTTGTCAGGCCACTCACCTGCAGACAACAGTCAAGGAACAACACTGCAAACGATTTAGTGATGGAAATTGGAGAAAAATTGCATAAAGAGGTTTCAGTGAAGTGCAAGGAATAGATGTGTAACCAGCCCATTAGTTCCCTTCCGCCCTTCGAAACATTACCGACTTGCCAATAACATTCCGGATGCCAAAACTATCATTATTCAAACAAAATCGCCCTATATTATTTTTTGGGGGAGAATGAAAGTGGCATGTATATCTGGCTTGCGTGCTGTTGGGCGCTATGAGATTGTGAAATAGTTATATGAGTGCGGGGGCCGCTCTCGTAATGTTAGCAGAGGTTTTTGTGGTAGGACAAGTTTCGACGTATATCCATTTGCCGTACCAAATGATGAGCGAAGTACTTTCTATCAGTCAAAAAAACTCTTGTGGGTGATTTAATGTAAACCGATACCTTGATTTCTTCGTGAAGTTTATGCGTGTGGAGCCTGGTAGTGAGTAAAAAATAAGAGGAGGCGTAAAAGGTTAATGGTTAAATAAACAGTTGGTAGTGAGACAGGATGTCTAGCACATTTATCTTTCACAGGGCGTGGACGTGAGGTGGACGCTGTTCAATACTGACTAAGACTGCGTGGGCTACCGCCTCGATTAATGCCTGCTAAGGAAGGCTAATAGGCCACCAATCTTTAAGCTTTTTAAAAGAAAAAGAATTTCCTTCCGTTTTCTTTGTGTTAGGAACCATTAAGTGGTGTGAACTTCGCTCACAATTGTTTGCCGGTGGTACCAGTAAAAACGTGCTGCACCATTTGATTTAAACAATCACATTTTCCACGTGCTTACACTAGTATGTGGCAACCCACACGCATCAGTACAATAGCATGCTTTTGTCGGTAGCATAACAATCAATAATCGTCGCGACTATGGATTCTTCTCGTGGTTCCTAATACCACAAATATGAACTGATTTATATTGTGAGAACTATTTTGAAATATGTGGCTTCAACTGGTACAGAATCGCCGCAAAGACTGAAATAAACTGACGGTTGAGGAACAGCTTAAAACTCTTGCCAATATTTTACTTTTTTGAAACTGATTGTAGCTTCCTTGGCTTCTAAACAGAAAACTCCTGACGTTCTTGTGCTTCCAAGGACATTTTTAGAAGTTAGCTATACTAAAAAGTCCGCCATCTTGTTCGCCGAGAAACTGGGACCTACCGAGCAATGTAAACACTTTTTTACTTCGAAGGTAAACCGCTGGCAAAGTCTTAAATAATAAAATGAAGCGAACTTTTGGAAAGACTTGTGAGCTAAAATGGAACTAAGAAGTCAAATAAATTTGCTCAAAACAAAAACCAGTTTTTGAAAGGAGCTTGCTCACAAATTACAGTCTTAAGACAATTGAACCCAAACATCGAACAGATCGGAAATGTCAAATCAAATCCCGGGAGAGGACTTTTTTAGCTTCAATGCTTTCTGTCTATTACAGCTATTAGCCAACATGGTCTCTGCTCTCTTTATAACCTAATGGGATACATTCACCCGATTTGCCAGCTTGAATTAGCAGCCAGAGATGAATCTTTCATTCTCCGTTTCGTTTCAATATCTTAAGATATATTTATTGATCGATCTAACAAACTAGATAGTTATCTTGAACTGTTAGTGGCAGCGTTCACATCAAGTTATTATTTGGATGTGCTGCAGGCATTTGTTGCCAAAGTACGTTTCTCGCTGGTTACTAAGGAGCTTGCCTTAAGCTTTAAACTACTCTGTCTATGTTTAATTTGCAAAGAAAGAGAGAAAGATGGATAGAAAGTCCCACTCCAACCTTCAAACGCTGAAACTCAATAAACACACGGTACACTTGAAACACGAACGTTTTTGTGATTCATGAAGCCAAGTCAGAGTTTGTGTTTACCCTTGACTGTTCACGTTGTCAAGCATCGAGGCTAGGTGGACAAGAATCCAGCTTTCCTCCCCATCTTGGTTGTGCTTTAGAAAATATGGTTTAAATGCAAATCAGCAACCAGATATACCATCTTGATTTTGATTAGCATAACTTCACTGATGTAAATTCAAAAATGATGATGATAACTTTGTACTTTCCCATCAAAGTGAGACCATAATGGCGATTTTGTAGGTGCCAACCTTTTAAATATACAATTTCATAAACAAGAGCATCTTTGTAATATTTAGCCACGATGTATTTATGTATGATTTTTAATAGTGAAATCAAAGACAGCCACAAAGAATCTAGTCGGACCCTTGGTGTATTTCAATTGGCTTTTAACTGGACGGGACTTTTGAAGACAGAAAATACATGGCAGTTTGTTTAATGGCGATAATTTCAGAGTTATGTCTGTTAAATTACAAAGACGTGTTGACCAAAGCTCTTCACAATTCAACACTTCTACAGCTCCACACCTCGACAAGAAGGAATGGGTTTGTCTACGCTTTGTCTACGGCCGGAGTCTTTTCAGATTGTTTAAAGGCAGAAAAACACGATTTTACAATTCTACTGGTTTATTACTAAATACCATAACATTTGGAGCCAGCCCCCGTGTTCCCTCATAGAAATCTTTCTTATAACAGGTTAATTACAGCAATAAGTCATCGTTGACCGGCTGGCGGTTAAAAATGTTACTTCTTTTACCACGGAGTGAGTTGGTACTCTCAATGTCTGAAAAATCACCGCTCCGCTCATAGACTCGTGGCCATGAATATATTTAAATTATCATCATGATAAAACAATATAATGTCTTCCAATCTTATACCAATGTTTGAATGACGTCCCACGAATAAAAAGAGAGAGTTTCCTCGAGCAAATAAGAGTTTCACTTCAGGCATATTAATAAAATAATTAATGTCAATAACTTCGCGACATGGGCTTAGGATAAGAGTGTATGTACAATTATTTACTATTTGTTTAACAATTTTGTTAAATAATGCTGTTTCATGCAACTGAACGACGCTCATTCTCATTACATAAACTAAATAATCATAATTTCACAATGTAACATACAAATTGGATATACAATACTTGATTAAGCAAATTGTGAGTCGTTATTTCTCCATGTTATGAAATGCGTCGCGTACCTGAACAACTGAGCACTTTGTACAATTTATTGCAGTGTCCTACATTAGCGGATGTATTTTCTTTATGTGAGAAGATCGGTGATCCGAACGGCTAAAAGACCTTCCACAAAGAGGACACACGTAGGGTTTTTCTCCAGTGTGCCGTCGATAGTGCCGCTTAAGTTCGTCCGATCTGCGGAAACACCACCCACAATCTTCCCACGGACACAGGAAGGGCTTCTCCCCGGTATGAATCCGCTTGTGAGTCCCAAGATGCGAGCTCTTCGTGTAGCGCTTTTTACAACCGGGAAAATCACAATGAAACGCATGGTTGAGTTCCAGTTCACTGCCAGAGAATGAAGTAGGAAAGGCTTGTTGTGTAGTGGAACTAAACGCGCTCCGCGGATCGCTCGATGTAGTACTAGTGGTTGTCGTGGTTTGAAGAGTTACTTGTGGCCACTCAAGCTTTAAGTTACGAGAAGCTACAGGTGCTGCTTGTACAGGATTAGATACACTGGCCAAAGGTTCAGGAAAGCGACAGTCTCTTTTTACCCCTTCTTCGAACTTTGGTTGCGACGGGTCTGCATTTGGTGGTGATTCCAGCGGGGTTTCCGGACCGGAGGAACACAGGTAGCTATCCATTTCAATCAGTGTCTACCAAAAAGAAAAGTCGATTTAAGGTTGTCATTTTGTGCTTGATCATTTGAGCTCCAATGATCAACTGAAATCAAGATTTGAGTTAACAACCTCCCGACAGCAACAAACGCACTGGTAAGGTCCTTGGTTTTGTTATGAGTGATCGAGGTTGTGAAATGGGAAGGCATTTAGGACTTCAGAATGGTAGACGTTTTAAGAGTGCAGTTAAAGAATCAACTCGGACCCTTGTAGCCTTTTACAACTGGAAACCCAATTGTCATTTTTCGCATTCATGGGCCTCGAGTTTAGTTCAACTTNAAGAATGTAAAGTTTGCTAACCAGTAGATGTCCGAGTTGATTTGTCCTGGAAGGAGCTAAAAGAAGGAATTAGAGGGTAAAAGTGTGAAAAACTAAACAAGCAAATAGGTAAGTAGTTAAGGTAATGACAAAGTAATCAAGTAAGCAAACAAGATGGCATATCTTTCGTGGCATATATGTAAAAAAGCTGGTGCAGTTTTACTTAAACTAAACCATAGAGCTAAGTGCAAGTTTGAAATATGAAGATCATGTTTCCGATCAGTAAACAAATTCCTGAATACAAAATTTAGTTTAGAACTAATAGTTTTTGCCACGTTTAATGTATGGCTAAAACTTTTGAAAGAACTGTCAAAAGTGGTAGATCTTACTTTTGACGTCATCGTTCGTTGAGTAAATCTTAATTAGCAACATGAAGAAAATATCCTTTTAACTTCAACTGAACAGCTTTTAACATCTAGTTTTGGTGTGATCATCATAATCACTACACGGAACTTACAAACGAAATATTCATAGCTGAAAAATTACTTAAATTGGTAGCGGATAATTCTTATGCGATTGGCAAACAATTTATTATACAGGTGAGATTTGGGTATACCATAGTCGATAAATTCTGTATCAAATGTAAATTAGAAACGATTCATCGTGTTAAATCACCTTTTTTAACAAATTTCCTTTGTGCTATATATTCTTCTCTTGGTTTGTTAGCATATTTTATTTACAGGTGTTGTCAATTGATTGTACTACGCTCCCAAACCTTCATGTGGTCGAGTGTAAACAAGGTTAAAATATTACATTCAGATATTCAGATATACCCTTGAAGTATAGCATTACATTTTGTATCACTGTATGTCTTATAATCTTGTCAGGCCACTCACCTGCAGACAACAGTCAAGGAACAACACTGCAAACGATTTAGTGATGGAAATTGGAGAAAAATTGCATAAAGAGGTTTCAGTGAAGTGCAAGGAATAGATGTGTAACCAGCCCATTAGTTCCCTTCCGCCCTTCGAAACATTACCGACTTGCCAATAACATTCCGGATGCCAAAACTATCATTATTCAAACAAAATCGCCCTATATTATTTTTTGGGGGAGAATGAAAGTGGCATGTATATCTGGCTTGCGTGCTGTTGGGCGCTATGAGATTGTGAAATAGTTATATGAGTGCGGGGGCCGCTCTCGTAATGTTAGCAGAGGTTTTTGTGGTAGGACAAGTTTCGACGTATATCCATTTGCCGTACCAAATGATGAGCGAAGTACTTTCTATCAGTCAAAAAAACTCTTGTGGGTGATTTAATGTAAACCGATACCTTGATTTCTTCGTGAAGTTTATGCGTGTGGAGCCTGGTAGTGAGTAAAAAATAAGAGGAGGCGTAAAAGGTTAATGGTTAAATAAACAGTTGGTAGTGAGACAGGATGTCTAGCACATTTATCTTTCACAGGGCGTGGACGTGAGGTGGACGCTGTTCAATACTGACTAAGACTGCGTGGGCTACCGCCTCGATTAATGCCTGCTAAGGAAGGCTAATAGGCCACCAATCTTTAAGCTTTTTAAAAGAAAAAGAATTTCCTTCCGTTTTCTTTGTGTTAGGAACCATTAAGTGGTGTGAACTTCGCTCACAATTGTTTGCCGGTGGTACCAGTAAAAACGTGCTGCACCATTTGATTTAAACAATCACATTTTCCACGTGCTTACACTAGTATGTGGCAACCCACACGCATCAGTACAATAGCATGCTTTTGTCGGTAGCATAACAATCAATAATCGTCGCGACTATGGATTCTTCTCGTGGTTCCTAATACCACAAATATGAACTGATTTATATTGTGAGAACTATTTTGAAATATGTGGCTTCAACTGGTACAGAATCGCCGCAAAGACTGAAATAAACTGACGGTTGAGGAACAGCTTAAAACTCTTGCAAATATTTTACTTTTTTGAAACTGATTGTAGCTTCCTTGGCTTCTAAACAGAAAACTCCTGACGTTCTTGTGCTTCCAAGGACATTTTTAGAAGTTAGCTATACTAAAAAGTCCGCCATCTTGTTCGCCGAGAAACTGGGACCTACCGAGCAATGTAAACACTTTTTTACTTCGAAGGTAAACCGCTGGCAAAGTCTTAAATAATAAAATGAAGCGAACTTTTGGAAAGACTTGTGAGCTAAAATGGAACTAAGAAGTCAAATAAATTTGCTCAAAACAAAAACCAGTTTTTGAAAGGAGCTTGCTCACAAATTACAGTCTTAAGACAATTGAACCCAAACATCGAACAGATCGGAAATGTCAAATCAAATCCCGGGAGAGGACTTTTTTAGCTTCAATGCTTTCTGTCTATTACAGCTATTAGCCAACATGGTCTCTGCTCTCTTTATAACCTAATGGGATACATTCACCCGATTTGCCAGCTTGAATTAGCAGCCAGAGATGAATCTTTCATTCTCCGTTTCGTTTCAATATCTTAAGATATATTTATTGATCGATCTAACAAACTAGATAGTTATCTTGAACTGTTAGTGGCAGCGTTCACATCAAGTTATTATTTGGATGTGCTGCAGGCATTTGTTGCCAAAGTACGTTTCTCGCTGGTTACTAAGGAGCTTGCCTTAAGCTTTAAACTACTCTGTCTATGTTTAATTTGCAAAGAAAGAGAGAAAGATGGATAGAAAGTCCCACTCCAACCTTCAAACGCTGAAACTCAATAAACACACGGTACACTTGAAACACGAACGTTTTTGTGATTCATGAAGCCAAGTCAGAGTTTGTGTTTACCCTTGACTGTTCACGTTGTCAAGCATCGAGGCTAGGTGGACAAGAATCCAGCTTTCCTCCCCATCTTGGTTGTGCTTTAGAAAATATGGTTTAAATGCAAATCAGCAACCAGATATACCATCTTGATTTTGATTAGCATAACTTCACTGATGTAAATTCAAAAATGATGATGATAACTTTGTACTTTCCCATCAAAGTGAGACCATAATGGCGATTTTGTAGGTGCCAACCTTTTAAATATACAATTTCATAAACAAGAGCATCTTTGTAATATTTAGCCACGATGTATTTATGTATGATTTTTAATAGTGAAATCAAAGACAGCCACAAAGAATCTAGTCGGACCCTTGGTGTATTTCAATTGGCTTTTAACTGGACGGGACTTTTGAAGACAGAAAATACATGGCAGTTTGTTTAATGGCGATAATTTCAGAGTTATGTCTGTTAAATTACAAAGACGTGTTGACCAAAGCTCTTCACAATTCAACACTTCTACAGCTCCACACCTCGACAAGAAGGAATGGGTTTGTCTACGCTTTGTCTACGGCCGGAGTCTTTTCAGATTGTTTAAAGGCAGAAAAACACGATTTTACAATTCTACTGGTTTATTACTAAATACCATAACATTTGGAGCCAGCCCCCGTGTTCCCTCATAGAAATCTTTCTTATAACAGGTTAATTACAGCAATAAGTCATCGTTGACCGGCTGGCGGTTAAAAATGTTACTTCTTTTACCACGGAGTGAGTTGGTACTCTCAATGTCTGAAAAATCACCGCTCCGCTCATAGACTCGTGGCCATGAATATATTTAAATTATCATCATGATAAAACAATATAATGTCTTCCAATCTTATACCAATGTTTGAATGACGTCCCACGAATAAAAAGAGAGAGTTTCCTCGAGCAAATAAGAGTTTCACTTCAGGCATATTAATAAAATAATTAATGTCAATAACTTCGCGACATGGGCTTAGGATAAGAGTGTATGTACAATTATTTACTATTTGTTTAACAATTTTGTTAAATAATGCTGTTTCATGCGACTGAACGACGCTCATTCTCATTACATAAACTAAATAATCATAATTTCACAATGTAACATACAAATTGGATATACAATACTTGATTAAGCAAATTGTGAGTCGTTATTTCTCCATGTTATGAAATGCGTCGCGTACCTGAACAACTGAGCACTTTGTACAATTTATTGCAGTGTCCTACATTAGCGGATGTATTTTCTTTATGTGAGAAGATCGGTGATCCGAACGGCTAAAAGACCTTCCACAAAGAGGACACACGTAGGGTTTTTCTCCAGTGTGCCGTCGATAGTGCCGCTTAAGTTCGTCCGATCTGCGGAAACACCACCCACAATCTTCCCACGGACACAGGAAGGGCTTCTCCCCGGTATGAATCCGCTTGTGAGTCCCAAGATGCGAGCTCTTCGTGTAGCGCTTTTTACAACCGGGAAAATCACAATGAAACGCATGGTTGAGTTCCAGTTCACTGCCAGAGAATGAAGTAGGAAAGGCTTGTTGTGTAGTGGAACTAAACGCGCTCCGCGGATCGCTCGATGTAGTACTAGTGGTTGTCGTGGTTTGAAGAGTTACTTGTGGCCACTCAAGCTTTAAGTTACGAGAAGCTACAGGTGCTGCTTGTACAGGATTAGATACACTGGCCAAAGGTTCAGGAAAGCGACAGTCTCTTTTTACCCCTTCTTCGAACTTTGGTTGCGACGGGTCTGCATTTGGTGGTGATTCCAGCGGGGTTTCCGGACCGGAGGAACACAGGTAGCTATCCATTTCAATCAGTGTCTACCAAAAAGAAAAGTCGATTTAAGGTTGTCATTTTGTGCTTGATCATTTGAGCTCCAATGATCAACTGAAATCAAGATTTGAGTTAACAACCTCCCGACAGCAACAAACGCACTGGTAAGGTCCTTGGTTTTGTTATGAGTGATCGAGGTTGTGAAATGGGAAGGCATTTAGGACTTCAGAATGGTAGACGTTTTAAGAGTGCAGTTAAAGAATCAACTCGGACCCTTGTAGCCTTTTACAACTGGAAACCCAATTGTCATTTTTCGCATTCATGGGCCTCGAGTTTAGTTCAACTTGATTTCGACTAAGTGAAAAATTCAGAAACTACTAATATATATATCTTTATTTACTGACTTGCGGTTCAGATTTATATACTTTCATATGGATATACAAATAACCTTTTATTTGGATTCCCTGAGGGAGGAAAAGAATCTGGTAATAACCTTAACTAATCAAGCTTCTCTTAAACGTTTTACGAATCCAAAATAGTTAAAGAAATTTTTGGGAGTATCTAATTTACTTCCTATCACTGTACACGTCAAGTATTTACAAGCACTACTAAAACGTGAAATGGCGAGCATCATCACAGCGTGACAATAACCTTTTTCTTTCCGTTGAATTGTATTTTAATTTCAAAGCCAGCGTACGTTTCGGGAACGCGACCGTTTATCAATCAGCACAAATAAGAACAGCAAATTACTTTAGAAGGATCACCACTAACCTGTTGTAGCTCATCTTCACTGTTAGGAATGAGTAGCGAATAGATCCCCGCCGTTAAAGGATTTCCCTCGGCTTGGTAGGAGTTCGGGTGCCTCAAACTCTCTGTCACTCGTACCAAATCGTCGTAATTCGCATAAGCCATACGGATACGCATAAGGATCGCCTCTTTGTAAGACAGCCCAAACTAAATACTGTGAGGTGAACTAACTCCTGTTAGGTTTGGCAGTTTAAAGAAAACACGCCTTGTCTTCCTGATTGCGTGTCAGTGTCAAAACTGTTAGACGTGGGTTTGCGTGGATCCTTACTGTTCAAGAGTCAGGTGCCGAGTCCGCTTTAATCTGGCAGGACCGAGTTTTCTTATGCAAAGTTCGATGTGCACCGTTATTCTATTCTAAACACTTCCCCCCAGGCTAAAGTGAAGAGCGGTCACGCTGTAGCGATCAAGAGCAAATCATCAACAGAGCGTATCTTAACTCAAATGAAGAGGTTCAGTACGGCCCGCATTTACCTTATAGTTACCGTAAGTTTGAAACAACTATTAATTCTGTGTCAAGTATACAATGGGGGTGCATAAAGAGTAGGTTGATAATCGATAGGTCAAAAAGAAAAGCCTCGAATTATTAACGACTCGCTTCAGCAGTCGTTCTGTCACGCAGAATTTTCGAGAAGGTCGTGTAACCTTCGGATCTACTTCGCAAACCCCGATTGGTTCCCGAAATAGATTTCGTTCTATCTTCGACCTCCGTTTACAATATAGAACGTTCGCGAACCTCTCGTTTCGTCTCGCAAATTAGTTATTGCGAAACATTGACACGAACGCTACGCAGCCACATGTAACGCTTAATGGAGAAAGGTTTTATACAAAAGAAACTGTTTCATCTTTGGTTGCTTTATTTAGGTAGAGCTTGATGCGTGTTAATAAATATGCTTAGCTTCAGTGAAGAGTAAGTTATTATGAGTGTCGCTTAAACCAGAACATGCCTGTATTGATCAACCTCCGAAAATTTGGAAGTGCGAGTTGGAAAGGTAAGAATTTTGTTTATTGAGGGTTTGTTTACCCTGAAACTTATTTTAAAAGAAATGGCATAAAAGACAAAAACAACTGAAATTATATAGATTGCCTTGGCTTACTCAAAACGGCTCACTTCAAAAGGGACTTTTTCCTTTGTAGATCATTAAAAATTACAACAACACGCAGTGGTTTAACGTTTGCCGCAAAGAGCAAGGTATTTTTAAAAAACTTTTGATTGCGTGACCTTCAGGTTTTATCGTCTTTGGTCGACCGAATCACCAGCGCATTCGCCCACGCACCTTCTAAATTGATGATACGCTTTTTAAAATAAAATGCTGTTTCCCACTCATTGACATTAGCGCTACACTGACATTTTTTTTATTCTTGACCGGCGCCTTCCATGTAAAAGTACTCTCAGCTTTAATAAATATGGTATGTTTATGTTAAAATATTAATGGCTGGAGTCCTACAGGCAATAAATAGAAAATCCCACCGTTTTTTTTTTCTCTCTGGGTCTCGACCTCCCATCAGCTTTGCGAGTTTTTCTTTTTGTAGCTCACGTCTCGAAGAATAGTATTAAGCAGGTGAAATACAGACAAATTATTCGGACGTTTGTAAACCCTCCTGACTTGAAACGAACTAATTTTAGCACTGGAGAAGCTTTGTTTCTGTTGTGTTTGTCCACTGAGCTCTTAATCACTGTTACACTTTCTAAACCATCTCAGAATAAGATGTTATCTTAAGGTCTTCCAGATAACAATTTATTCCGTTCATGGTTGTAAAAATCATTTGCAGCACAAAATCAGTCAGTGGCCCTCTAAGCGGTACTCCAGTTACGTGACTTGCGGTGGCCGCTTGACTGAAGTTTCAGTTACCGTGTCAACATATAAATTGTCCATTTTGGAAGCAGACTTCTGAAGTGGGTAAGTCAGCTATTGTGGTAGATGAAGAAATTTGGTCAATAGTTTGACAACAAAGATGTAATTTGTCAGGCCACTCAGTTTTGTGACAACATTTTATGACTTCGTTCTACCTCCCAGGAGTTTTAGTTTATGAGACTCGATGAGACCGTGGCCAAGTCCAAACTGAACAGCTCATCAGTAAAAAAAGGTTCATTTATTGCTGTAAACCCTTGAGTCGCCAAATTGTCGAGAACCATCGTTTTGTTCTTTATCAGTTTGGCATCGACAAATGGCTGTTGTCTGAGAAAACGAAGTGTCTAGCGCATTATGTTTTTTTTTTTTTTTTTTTTTTGTTCTTTGTTTGGTCAGCAGATCTAATCCTTTGAATGTCCTCGGAAAATACAAACCACTGGTGGTCTTGTGATGTGGTTTAATAACCTTCAGGGAGAGTAACGATTCGTCAGTACGACTTCATAACGTTTGATTTTTAATTCTATATTTGCTCTTTTTATGAGGACGAGTATTTGTTTCCCTTCGCAGTGTATGATATAATCCCCGTACTAACTGTCTTACGATACGAAATGATGAAGCTGCCCTAACTGTTAACGTGTCTTAAATCAATAACCTTTCGGTTTTCCTGGATTATATTAGCAGTCGTATCAAGGATTATTAAGACACTTCAGATCAGTGGAATCTTTCCATTTGAGCCTGCTACACATCAGAACATTAATGAAATGAGGTGAGATGGCACTCGGACAGATTTTCTGGACAAAATATCTTCAAATTATTTACCAGATGAAGATGTGTTAGTGTTAGCATCTGTCAGCTTAGAAATATTTATACTTTTTGAAACACTGAATATCAAGTCAGATAAAATAAATATCACTGTATGTGGAATATTTATATTAAAACAAAACACTCCGTTTTACACCGGAACCAATGGTTTTACATGTTGACATATCAGAGTCCTTAAGCAACGTACTTCTTTTGAACTAGTTCAGACGCTTAAGTCGAGCTTTACTCCTGCTTGTTTCTTTGAATCCAAATTGTGCTGTCGTGACGTTTTCTGACTGAGAGATCTCATGCTCAACAATGCGTTGAAACAAGTGTCGGCCGTTGCAAGCTGTATACCCGACATCTCTTGCATCGAACAAGCCACGTTGAAGTAAGTAAACAACGCTTTGTTGGTTGATCAATGCCGGGAGCTTTTCTCACAAACCTTAACATCATTCGATATTCCAACCGTGTTAAGACTTTGAACTCTTCAAGAGTGACTAGAGTCTAGTCTTCACTAGTAGTAGATTATGCACATATTGAGACAGATATTTTAGCATAAATATTCAGACTATTGCATGACATCTTGACGATATCGAAACGTTTAATATTTCCTCTTTTTTTCATTTTGAAATGTTTTCTGCAAGCCTAATAAACAAAAAATCACCGGTAATGACGTCAGTTCACTGATCAGGAGGTACACCATGGCCAACATGGAATTTCACATCGATTTCACATCCCTTTTACGATGGAGTAATTAGCAAGTCAGTAAGTCAGTTAGTTTAAATGTTTAATTTTTATTTAGTATCTATTCAATATGTGTCAAGTGAGATCAAATAGTAAAACTGATGTAAATGTCCCAAAAAGGTTCATACAAGGACATCGTTATCGTCTGTCACATTATAGTTGCGGATTTTTGTTTTATCTTCAGTCTTTCTTCTCTCTCTGTATGATGTAATACAGTCCCGCGTACAAGAACCTGCCGTTTTCCAGGTCAGGCTGAATAGGTTTTATAAGACGAAATAAGAAATTTGGTTCTTAAATAGGTTCTTCTTTTTTTGAGAGTGGTACAGGTCATGACATTTTAAATACAGATGTATAACATAGGTATGGTGTAAAAGTTGCGAGATTTCAGATATTCGATTATTAAGTCCGAAACAGTTTCATGAAAATAAATCTTGCCGGCAAGAAGTCGATACCCTGAAACACTTTCCTCTGAAAATATATCACTGCCAAGCTCCCAGTCTTATCTCTCATCTATAATATTCAGTATTGCTTGCCTAACAAATAAGAACCTTCAGTTCCAAGTTTCAGGCTGAATTGGTTCTTATGAAAATGGTGTTTAAACGGCAGATTGCAGGCTGTAGGTTCTTGTACGCGGGATTTTACCAAACAAACCATAAAAACGATTTTTTTTCTCTCTCTCTTCCTTTATCTTATCAACTACCTTTTCTCGTTTCCGGATTATCTTTAACCTGCTCTCAGAAATCGCAAAATAAAGGGACCTTATCGGTGGCAAATCGCGGAAAATTTACTATTGCGAAATAGATACCTTTCAAAATCGTGAAAGTACGTTGGCGCGAAAATTTCCATTAGCTTGATCACACACAATATATGTGAATACGCGCCGGCTACCTTTCAACTCGATTTTTGTTTTGTTTGGCACGTGATCATGCGTTGCAACCTTTGGTCACCAGTGCGCGCTTGATATTGAGACCGCATGGATAATTGACAGGCAAATGATCATTTATAATATAAAGGCATTGTTTCTATTGGCACTGATTGGGACTAAAACTTCCGTTTCCACGCATATCAGGTAATAAAAGCTTTTGTCTCAACCGGGCTTTGTAATTAGACAATAACAACACTTAGCGTTGTCTCTTACCGGGTCAAACACTGACCATTTAAATTATAGGAGACTCGTAGAAACGGCGAAAACACGGGTGAAGTATTTTACAAAGAACGATAAGAAACTTTTCTTAGAGTTTTGATATTCATTTTTTTCTTGCGATATATGCATTTTGGTTTGCCCGCGAAAATAATGAAACCTTGGCGTCGGGAACGTAAGTCGGTGCATTGTTAGACTACTGTTGAGTTGCACGTGATGATTGCCGTGACCTGTCCCGGCCACTGTACAGCATGAGGGGATTATTTTCCGCAGCAAAATGATGACAGGAAGTGAATGTGTTGTCGGAAAAAAGGCCGGGTCAAACGATACCGCAAGTGCGTGACCCAGCCAAACTTGTTCCATTCAGTTTCTCGTGTTCACAAAAAAAAAAACTGCAGCGGAACTGACAATTGAAAGAGAAGCATGTTTTATTCCAGAATATTTGTACGGTGATTAAAATCTCTCTTTCAATTGAGTCTTTTGCATAGATACATCCACATCTAGACATTGTAGAAACAATGTGAGGAGTTTATTGTGTGATATTTATAACTTGATTACAAGGTAGCAGAACACACCGCATGTTGACTTCGTCTTTGTTAGACAGTCACCCGTGACCGGCTGCGCGTCCAAGTGTTTTATAAAATCCCTTCCTCTAGTCACGAGAAAAGTTTAAATTTCCATAACAAAGAAGTACCTGAGTCATTGCCTAATGTAGCTTAGATTAATGGAAATACCAAAGAAAACTTTCTTTTTAATTGCTTTTATCGATCTCAAGACATCGTTTTTTGAATTAACCTGACGTTTTCACTCCCATGCTTATGGCGTGCGATGACAGGTACCGACACCATTGTAGGGAACACGTATGAACTCTGAGATCTATTTCCCCAAAACCCAAAACGAAAAACCCATCATGAAGAAAAACCCGACTACTTTTATTTTGGCCGTTTCGATTGAGTACAACAAGGCGCTACAACAGTGTGGTTGTACTACAACCTATTTGGCGCTCTGCGCTCCGATGATTGAGTAATATTAATAGCGGCCGCCCTACATAATTAACCTTATCTTAAGGTTTTGCACGACCGAAGAAGAAAACGAAAGTGCCATGTTCTCAATGAAATGGGTCCCTTATTGCCGAAAGGAATGAAAGCGTTGAAATCGACAGGTAGACGAATTCTGACAGGTCTCGCGTTCCCCGGCCTCATAGCAGGTATGTTCTGTATGAAAAGGCCAACAACTATACGAATTTGTGGAACGTCAGTAAGTTCAAGTGTCCCTT